TTTGTCTCTTGACCACCCTCCCCTCCGGCTTCTGCTTCAGCCTCAGAGTGCAAACTGCTCTCTGCCATAGCCTCTTCCTGTTCACTAAAGCCTGCGCCTCTTCTGCAGCTGATGCCTCCTTCCAGTCTGCTTCTTCTCCCTGTGACCACTCATTGTCACCCCACCACTAATTTCCTAGCCTTGGTTCTCTAGGGGGTTCCCCAACTGATGCCTCCTACCACTCCTTTGCATCCAGCCAGTCCATGGCAGCTACTAAGTGTGTTGTAAAGTCTTGTATCTTATCTGCATGGTACTTAAGCTTTTGACTTTGTAATACTGCTCTTTATGTTACAATGGTGTGTGATAGTTTGTGTGATGAGGCTTATAGTTCCCTGTTTTAGTCATGAATAGATAGTTTTCAAACATTCTTGTTATTTCCGAGACTGCCTTCCAACTTATTGTGGCCCCATACAATAGCCAGATGGGTGGGGTATAAATAATAATATTGTTATTCTTATATAGGCAGACAGTGCAGATGCTTAAGAAAGGTGTAATGTGCTGATGATGGTAACCTCTCAGCAGGATTTTGGCTAACGAGCTTCCAGCCCATCCTCAAGGGCAAGTCTCAAATAGAGTGCATTCCAGTAATCACATCTCAGGTTTGCCAGCATATGGACCACCATGGCCAGATTATCCCTGTTGAGCAATGGCCATAGCTGGTATACCAGCCAAACCTGGTAGAAGATACTTTCAGCTACTGAAGCTACATGAGTCTCTAGTGGCAAAGATGAATCAACTACAAGGCTGCTCCTTCAAAAAGTTTCTGACCCTATCCTGAACAGGCAAATAGGCAATTTCCTGGATCCAGGAGCAACTCACACACAATTCCTGCATCTTGCCAGGATTTAATCTTAGTCTTTTGACCCTCTCCCAACCTACCACTTCATCCAGATATTGGCTCAGGAATTGCATGCCCCCTCCTGATTCAGATACTATAGAGTACTAGGAGTATAGGAACCAGATTGGCAAGGGTCAAGATAATCAGTTGCCTCCAAGAGTGCCTGTTGTTGATCCACCACTACCTTCTCAAGCAATTTCCACAGGACGGGGATATTTGTGATCAGACAGAAGTCATATACTATTGGATCCAGGGTTGAGTGGATCTGCTTTTTTGGAAGTGGCCACGCTACTGCGTTCTTCAGGGCGGTAGGCACCAGTCCCTCATTTAACAGCACATTAGCACACCCTGAACCTATAAGGTAGCTTCACTTAGGCAAGATGGGCAAGAGTTGTGAGGTTAAGTTGTTGGACACATTGTCACCAGGCTGCTGTAACAGAAACTGATCCCACAGTTGGCGCATTACACATCTCAACAACTAAAATAAGAGAGGCATCAAGGTTGCTACAGATGCAAGCAACGTTCTCCAAGTGCCTTAGAAATAATTCTCAGCAGGTTACAAAGGACTTTATTGCTCCATCCATAGGGGCAGATAATAGCCCCCTGGCTGCTCTGCAAATCTCAACTGGATGACTACATGGGGATGTAGTGGAAGCAAAATAAGCCGAAATTGCTTTCCTTGCTGCCACGCAATAGGTGCAACTATGTGCTCTCACTCAAGTTTGATCAACTTCAGATCATTCATGTCTTGTGCCATTTCCTCTCTAGCCATCTTCTGGGTCATTTTATTTTGTGAAGTTCCCCAGAATACCAGGGAGGCTGCTCAGAAGCGACCATGTCAATAGTTCATCACAAATCCTCATTTCAGGGGGGTACTAGGTCATTGACAGGATCACCAGTTCTGTCTACAGTAGTACGTCAGGTTAAGAACTTAATTCGTTCTGGAGGTCTGTTCTTAACCTGAAACTGTTCTTAACCTGAAGCACCACTTTAGCTAATGGGGCCTGCTGCTGCTGCCGTGCCGCCAGAGCACGATTTCTGTTCTCATCCTAAAGCAAAGTTCTTAACCCGAAGCACTATTTCTGGGTTAGCGGAGTCTGTAACCTGAAGCGTCTGTAACCCGAGGTACCACTGTACAGGAAAAGTCCCCTAGAACATAACTCCAACTCCCATCAACCCCAACTAGCAGGCTGTAGTCAAACAACATGGGGAGCATTCAGGAATTCTCAGGAATTCTCAGGAATTCAGGAATTCTCAGGAATTTCCAGGAACAAACTATGTGATTAGGTCTTTTAGCCATGCAGGGAGGGATACCAAAAGTTCACCAGGAGGTGGTCTGGCCATAGCAACAGGGTGGTTTGGAACCCCCGCCACAGTTTTCCAATCACCCATCACATTGCCTGGAGCAATGACTAATTTGGGGTTGAGACCTGAATTTATGCACAATTGAATTAAACTACAGTTTAGGGGCTCAGATTTTTTTGGGGGGGGTGGGAGGCTAAATTTAAAAAACAAGAATTAAGATTATTAGTTTTTATAGAATCATAGAATCTTAGGGTTTCACCAACATTTGGAAAGAAATGTCCAATGTTTTGGGATGCATGTGGCTTGTATTTTGCACGGGCCTCTGAGAAGGTGCACAGCATCAGTTTTGCATTCTGTACATGAAAGCACATCTTCCCACCATCTCACTCTGTAGGAGTCGGGACGGGTTTTCCTCTCCCTGCAGCAATCTTTCCAATTGCAGCACTTTCCTCCTGCGAGGTAAAAGTAACAACTACCATTAACTTATATGGAAGCAAGTAAAGGGACTCACCTTCTCACATCCCCAGTTACTGAGAATCCAGCCTCCTCCTGTGAACAGTGGTCCTATTCTGTGTTGCATTTCTTGGCCACTAGAGTGTGGTAGAATGTTGGAGACTGGCCTTCATATGGTCCGGGAGGTTCTTTAACAAACTATTTGTGGGCTGGAAGGAGCTGTCATCTCTTAGGGAGAGCTCAGTTTTCAGGGGCACAATAGCTTCCCAGGTGAGAGACGGATGAATCCCTACGATGCCACACACACACACACACACACACACACACACAAATTCAGTGTAATACACTCCCATACATTCATATATGAAGTGATATAGTGTTATTATCCTAATATATATATATATAGATATATATAGATATTAATAGCCTACTACATTCTGTATAAACTCATTCCAAATGTTGTCATATTTATCCAAGCAAAGCCTATTTCTGTAAGCAGTTCATAAGTTGTGAGTGTTGTCATATTGTCAATCCATTGAATAAAGGGTATCGTAACTTGATTCTTCCAATTCATCTGTATCAATCTCTTGGCCACAATTAGGGTGCGTAGAGTCCATTTTCGTTGTCCCATTGTTAATTTCCATACCATAGGCTTATAGTTCAAAATAATGTTCTCTGAAAGTTTTAACCTTTTTTGCACAATCATAGTTACAGACTCCAGAACTTTCTCCCAAAACTTAGTAACTACAGAACACTGTACAAACTTGCAAACACTTTCCCACTGTCTGGGTAGTATTGGAAGTTCCAATACTTTATTCCAATCATTTCTTAAAGTCTGCATATTGGAACTTATTTATTGCCAATACATATTTCTAAAAAGTAATCACTGGCTTTCTAGTTTTGAATGAGTCATCCAATTGCTCCAGTATCTCAGGTATCTCGGAAGTGGAGAGGGCTGCCAGCCCAAACACCCTTGTTAAGAGATGTTGTAATGGAAGATATTGCCATTGGGCTGCATCTGATAGATGATATATTTGTCTTAAAATAGCATAGGTATAATGTTGATCTTCCTCATCTATCAGTTGGTCCAAAGTCAATACACCTGCTTCCATCCAATTTTTCCATGTTGCCATATTTTTTGCAATTTTTAGAGTAGGGTTTCGCCACAAAGTAAGTTTTGCATGTGAGAATGGATCAATATCCCCCCCCAATATATTTTATATCCTTCTAACTGACTTAGTTGTTGCTGGAGTCAGCTGATATTTAAAATATTTTGATCCTAGTATTGTCCAACCAACCAAAGGTGGCGTATGTGCATATTCTAGGGTTGCCTATGTCGGAAAATTAAGACCCAACAGTAGGTTTCCAATATTTAATATTTGATGGTAAATAAGCATAATGATATAATTCCAAATTCAGAATTTATAACTGCATTCTCTGCAATAATGTTCTCAGTGTTGTTGAGCCTCAAAGACATTTCCTAAACAGGGAGTTTTATCTTTTGAAGGTATGATCCAGATATAAAAACTGGAAGTGCTCTCAGAATATAAATAAATCTGGCTATAATATTCATTTTGAGAACATTCACCTTTCCCCAAAGGGTAGGGTTCAGCCACTCCCACCTATCAATATCTGAAGAAACCTTTTTCATTAATTTATTTATATTAACTGTGACTAAACCATTATATATCTTTTGGTATTAACATAACTAGATATTTAATAGACTTGGAACTAATCCAGAATTGATATACCTTGAATGAATGTGTAATCAGATTTTTGCCCTATTGGCATCAATTCCAGTTTGGACCAATTAACAGAATAACCAGATATTTTACCAAAAACATCAAGATTGGAATACAAGTCTGAGGTTCTGAAATAAGCAAAAGAATATCATCTGCAAATAAAACTAATTTGTATTCAACTGAATTATGAGTTGTATGTATATACATTTTATGTATATAACATGAACAGAATTAGGCTTCTTTAAAGAAAAACATTATTTATTAAGTTTCATAATTATTTCTTATATATCATAATAAAAGTGAATTTTCAAAATCATAACTGGACATTCTGGAATTGGGACAGAAAGAAATTGTCTCTGTCTCAAGCATCATTCAGAATGGTTAGGTTCTCTTGAAGATATCTGGAAAATTTAGGTGTGCAGAGTCCCACTACCCACTATGAGCTTCTGGTTTGAGGCAATTACCAGTACTTTCCCCAAAGAATTCAGGCATGGTAACCTTCATCAGACCCTCTCATCGCTCTAGCAGTTTTAAAGAATAAGAATATGAACAATTTTTCTACTCCACATAAACCAATATTTACCAGTAATCTTATGTTTCTATTTTTGTTTTGTTTTTGGCAGACGTTTACCAGTAAATATCGGTTTATTCCTGAAACCAGAAGCCCTAAACATATCTTTGTTTATAAGGTCAGTCTTCATTTCCTGTTTTTTCTGTCCTCCCCCATTGACTTACAAATTCTATCGCCTTCAAGGTAATGACAAGCATGTCGTATTCTGTCTTCTGTTGTACTTGCAGCACTTTTCAAATAAGTGAACTTTGCTAGTCTGTATGAACCTAAATCATGAGTGGAATTTCCTCCTTTAAACTTAACATCAGACTGAAAACAAGTTAGAAGTATGTTTTAAATTCCAGAATACAGACTTAAAGTCTCTTTTCCAAAATGAAATTCTTTTAAAAATAGGATTTTAACACTACTGTAGTCAGCATTGTACAACCTGCTATGACTTGGAACTGAGGATCAGAGAAGCAGGCTGCTGCTCACAATAATATAATAATGTAATTAATTTAGCTTCAGTTGTGTTAATGGTGCAGGTGTCCCTTCTTTCTAAGGAAGTTTCTAATATATATATATACATACTTTAAAAATCACCTTGCAAAACAAGATAACCTCCACACTCGAAGGGGCTGTGAAATCATGCACCCATATCTCCATGTACTTGCATTCTTTCCTAAATTTTGTGTGCGCGTAGAGAGAGCCCCGTGCATGTGGGAGCAGGAATCTTGGTCATTCTGTGTAGGATTCTATGCATGTCTGCATCACTCATACCAGGGATGGGAAGCCTGTGGCCCTCCAGATGTTGCTGAACTTCAATTTCCATCATCCCTGACCAGTGATCATGCTGGCAGAAGCTGATGGGAGCTGACTCCAACCATTTCTGGGGGCCACAGATTTATATGTTACATCCAATATGCAGAAGTCAATATGGGACCAAGGGAGGTAGGATCCTGTTGCCTCACCATGTTGTTTGCCCAGTTTTGTGAATGTGGGAGCAGCACTCTGTGGAGTTCCCTACATTTGTGATGATAGCATTCATTCATTCCTTGGGTGAAATCCTAGTGTGTTGTTGAGTCTTTACTGTGCTATCCCAATTGAAAACTCCCTTTCCTCCCCTTTTGCAGCCTCCATTTTTGTGCAATATAATTGGCAACAACTTTAATCTGAGCAATTGACACCGGCCCTTCTTCAAAGCATTCAAATGGTTTGAGGAGAACCCGTTACCACTGTGGAACACACATGGGAAGTCACTTATTTAAAGTCAATGACAAATTATCTTCAGCACTTACAAATTGCAAAGCAAAAATACTATTACAGTATTAGCCTTTCCTATATAAGCAATTCCTTTGTAATTTCAAATAGGAAAGAAGATTATATTAATGGTGTATATCAGTCTTGGTTTTTTAATGTCAATATTGTAATTTTATAATACTGTCGATATCTAATTGTTTAATCTGAATAATCCATGTAAAATCATTTCAAGGTACTTCACATTTCCACGCTCTGCCATCAGTATTATTACTGCATGAGTATTTTAAAGGAAAGAAGGTAGCTCTGTGTATAATTCTTAAACTTTTCTCATGGGGCTAAATAATAATAATATATATTTTAAGACATGGAATTCTAAAGCCCACATTTGCTAAAGCTCAGTAGTTGTCTCATATCTTAAAAATGGAGTGGTTGTTAACAAGCCAATTTGAAATTGTATATGAAATAAGGAAATAGCAAATATTTAAATATTTTTGATAATTAGAGGCCATCAGAGAAACAGTTAAAAAAAAGAAGTACCGTATTTTTCGCCCCATAGGACGCACTTTTTCCCCTCCCAAAATGAAGGGGAAACGTGTGTGCGTCCTATGGGGCGAATGCAGGCTTTCGCCAAGCCTGGAGAGCGAGAGGCGTTGGTGCGCACCGACCCCTCTTGCTCTCCAGGCTTCAGGAAGCTATCCGCAAGCCTCACGCGTCCGGCAGGAGGCCCCGCCAGGCGCGCAAGGCTTGCGGGCGGCAGCCTGCAGCCCGAAGCATGGGGCGAGCTGCGGAGCCCGCCCCCTGCTTGGGGGAGATGTTGGCAAGCCTTGCGCGCAAGGCTTGGGGCGGCAGCCTGCATCCCGAAGCAGGGGGCGAGCTGCGGAGCCCGCCCCCTGCTTGGGGGAGATGCCGGCAAGCCTTGCGCGCAAGGCTTGGGGTGGCAGCCTGCATCCCGAAGCAGGGGGTGAGCTGCGGAGCCCGCCCCCTGCTTGGGGGAGATGCCGGCAAGCCTTGCGTGCAAGGCTTGGGGCGGCAGCCTGCATCCCGAAGCAGGGGGTGAGCTGTGGAGCCCGCCCCCTGCTTGGGGGAGATGCCGGCAAGCCTTACGCGCAAGGCTTGGGGCGGCAGCCTGCATCCCGGAGCAGGGGGTGAGCTGCGGAGCCCGCCCCCTGCTTCGGTCAGATGTCGGCAAGCCTCGCATGCCCGGCGGGAGGTCCCGCTTAGCGTGCAAGGCTTGGGGCGGCAGCCTGTTCTGGGAGCTGGGGTCAGGGGAAGCTTGGGCTTACCCCGCGCCTGCCCCGCGCCTGGGGGGAAAATAATTTTTTTCTCTTTATTTCCCCCCCAAAAAACTAGGTGCGTCCTATGGGGCGGTGCGTCCTATGGGGCGAAAAATACGGTAGTTCTCAATGCAACACACACACACATAGAGAGAGAAACCCCTTTTATACTTCTATGCTTCTTCCATTACTCCAGTAGCAGGTAGTTAAAATCAGCTTGCAACGTTCCTCTGGCCTTACATGTCCCCATTTTTCCTGTTTTTGGAAACCCTTGATTTATAGCAAATCTTGCACAAAAGTGGCACTTTAGCATTCTGTACACAGCTCAAGCATTTCATCTTGTTTACTGGTACATCAGAACAAGGGAGGAGGACAATAAACCCTGTGTTATTATTATTATTATTAGTAGTAGTAGTAGTAAATTAAATTTCTACACCTCCCCTCATCCAAAGACCACAGGGAGGTTTACAGTGTAAAAACAGCATTAGTTATGCCTAGGGTTGCCATACATCCAGAACTTCCTGGACGTAGCCGGTTGGTATTCAGCCCTCGCAAACAGCGTCCGGATGAAAATCGCTGAAATGTCTGGGAAAATCTGGACGTATGGCAGCCCATGTCAGTAGTGTAGAATGATTTCATTAAAAATAGCTAAAGAACTCGTTTTATTTCACAACTTTGGGCAACCCCTCCCCCCCCAAAAAAAACTTTGCCTAAAAAAGCTCAACAACTGTCCAGATTTTCACTTTTTGAAATATGACAATCCTAGTTATGTGTGAAACTGAAGGACCTTTCTTATACATTTCAGATGACTGGCAAAGAATTCAATTGACATCTCTGGAAACAGCATTAGTTCCCGGAAGCACTTTCTTCACACGATTATGTACCTGCATACATAAACCTGGAATTCCAAGATTTCATTATTACGCTGAGCTTTAAAGGCAGATGGATAATCACTTGGTCCTCTAATACAGGGTGCTGTTAAATTTACACCCGAGCCCCCCTTTCCAGCCCTAAGAGCCCCTCCTCCACCCAGCCTTGTATGAAGGTACATGTCATTGTGAAGAGAGGCCAGTTCAGCCATCTCTGGAATTTCAGCTGATGGGGAGAGTGCAGCCATGATCACAGTTTATGCTAACTATTCTCCATATAGTTGAGCACCTCGTACATGATTGCATGGAAGGATTTAGCAGTGCAAAGCCGTCTTTTCCTTTTTTTTCTTTTCGGAAGGTGAGGACAAAACCTGTAGCGTATTTTTTCACATGTGAGTTTTCTGAAAAGACCAGGAAAAATAAATCTCTCAAGAAAGGCTAGAATTATATCTCTCAAGTCTCTGCATTATTATTTTTTGCTAGTTAATCTTTATTAGATGTACTCCGATTTCTGCATTATTATTATTATTATTATTTGGCTAGTTACTCTTTATTAGATGTACCAATATCCATTGGTGGTCATGTTTTTCTGTAACGTTTTAATTATCATACAAGCATACACTGTAAGAGTACACACTTATTAGAAGATTGGAATGTTGAACTAGGCAAAAATGTTTGCTTTTATTTATGTAAATGGCTGCTATCCTGTTTTTATTATTCCTGGCTACCATCTCATAACTGTTGTATTTTGATCTAATGGGCAATGTCGGGCAATGTTCAGACATTCTGTGGTTTATGTATTTGTGTAATTGTATGTATGTAACTACTAACTCTAGATTGTAACTAAGAAACATGTTCGTTTCATTTATTCAGAATAGTATATTTCCTGTCTAAAAATATTTTCAATTATATGAGAAAAGGAATTTTTTTTTTTTTAAGATTTGTCCTGCAAGGTCTGGTTTCTCTGCTTTTAAAAAATACTGCCGGGGCCGCTATCTAGTTTCACTTGATAGACCAAAGTTACCATTGACACTGTCTTGCAATGCTGAACAAATTTATATCCTTTGCACTTTAAATGAATATAAGATAAGGAAAATCAAAGTGTCAATTGTATATACATTCACTGTACAGTAGAATGTATATCTTTAGTCAGTCTGACTCTGTTTATAAAGGGGGTATTTTCCTTTGTTGTTGGAAGAGGAGTACTTGAGCAATGTATTTGCTAGTCAATATAAAGTGTTTACATGTAATTACTTAATAAATTATTTGATTTAAGATGCATTATAGTGATTTTTAAGTGTCAACCATTGGGGATATCTGGCTCCTCTCTTTTAAGTTCCTACTGTTTTGAAAATCTTTTAAAGCAGTCAATTTAAATGTATTCAGGTGCTCAAAACTGAGCATTCAGGAAGACACAAAGCGTACACTTCTGTGAGATTTAACAGGGCTGCTGAGTATGCCATTTTGCAACAGCCACAACATGCACACATTGAATAAGGAAATATTATATAATTCAGGATTCTAAATGCAGCAGTGCCTACAAAAGATATGCCACGATCTTGTTGATGGCAAGGAAAACATAGGTATATAAAGGAGAATTCCGGGATGCCAAGATCCAAGTTTGGTGAGGGAACCCCAGCAGAGATTTAAAATCACAAAATATGCAGCAAAGTCAAGCATGGAAATATAGGCTGTCAGACTTTTAAAATATGCCCTTCTAAGCTGCTTCCAAAGTCCCCATCTTTCCCTAGCAAAGAAAAAGACCCACACACTTGGTAAATTAAAAGTGGTTTACTTACAAACTCTCCAAGGGTCAGATTCATGTGTTTTTCCATACAGCATTCAAAAAAAGTTGCACGGGCAGTAACACTTGACTTAGTTACATTGGTGAAACTTCCTAAATTATTTGTATAGGAAATTATTAGCATAGGCTTGTAAAAGCCATACAGTCTGAGCTGCAGCAACCAGCTCAAAGCATGTTGTGCTTGCCTGTTAGACTGAGGTGAACAAAGGCATTTGATTACCTTCCCCCCAAGGTGAGGGGGAATGACTTAAATAAGCCTGGTAGGACAGCTTACTCTATGGCATTAACTATTTCATGCATTAATTAGACTTATGCGTGTTGGTTGTATGAGGCTGGTTATCCCACAAACTACTTCTCAGACAAATATGACCATTGCATGGGCAATTAATGAAGCACCCACAGTCCTAACTTGACTTGAAGCTTCTCAAAATTGTCTCTTGGTATTAGCTTGGTGAGAATGTCAACTGCCATTTCTTTGGTTTGAAAATACGCCAAGTCAACAAGTCCATCTTGTGTCACCGCACACATTGTGATATTTCACCCCAATGTGCATCGTTTGGCCCAGGAAACAGGACCATTTCCAAACATAAAGATAAATCCACCTGTTGATTTGTAATCCTTTGTGTCTCTGGCACGGTCAACATCTCTGTAACCTGGTAGTTTTGGATAGTTGTCGGCTGGCAGTTTAAGTTTACAGCTCATGGTTCCATTTAAGTATCTAGCAACTCTTTTCATAGCAGTCTAGTCCTTCGCAGTGGGAAAGCTAACTTTCCTGCTTAGGATTCCCACTGCATTTGCTATGTCAGGTCAGGTTGTTGTGGTTCAGTAAAGGATCTTTCATATAGCTGACCTGTTGTTGTCTGAGAAGGGTTCAGACTTACCTTTACTCTTTAGAAAGTCAGTCACCATTGTCATGGCTACTTCCTTGACTTCTTTCACTCCTAGACTGTCGAGCGATTCAATAACTTTCTGCTTTTGACTTAGAGTCCAAAGAATAAGGATCTTATCTTCTATCTGAATACCCAAGAAGAAAGCGATGTTTCCCAGTTCCTTTATCTCTACTTCGTTGCTTAGGTATTCCACAACTTCTGTGTAGCCTTGGTTATTTTCAGTTGCAATACTTAAACCATCCACAAAGGCCAAAACAAAATAAAATTGTTCATTTTTGCCCTTGGTGTACAAGCACTTCCCTGCATGCCCATGTATGTACCCCAGTTGTGTGAGCTTCCTGTGTAGCTTCTCATTCCATGCTCTAGCAGCTTGTTTTAATCCATAAAGCCCCTTCTGAAGTTTGTATACGAGATTCGCTTCCTTTGGTTTGATAAAACCTTTGGCTTGTTTCATTTACAGAACTGGCCATGCAAAAATGTGGTTTTAATATTTATGCATTACACCTTTACTATGCTCAAAAGGAGTCTGATGTTAGGGTGTCTCACTATAGGTGCAAAAGTTTCACTGTCGTCTTTCTCATACTCTTGCAAGCAACCTTTTGCCTCAAGTCTTGCTTTGTAGTGCTCAATTTCCCCCTTCTGCACCCTTCTCTACCTTAAACACCCGCGTGCTTCCTATTGCCTTTTTTGGTGCTGGTGCAGTGCCAGTGTGGTGTAGTGGTTAAGAGCAGTGGACTCGTAATCTGGTGAACCAGGTTCGCATCTCCGCTCCTCCACATGCAGCTGCTGGGTGACCTTGGTCTAGTCACACTTCTCTGAAGTCTCTCAGCCCCACTCACCTCACAAAGTGTTTGTTGTGGGGGAGGAAGGGAAAGGAGAATGTTAGCTGCTTTGAGACTCCTTCGGGTTGTGATAAAGCGGGATATCAAATCCAAACCCTTCTTCAATCCCTTCCTGTGCAGCATTCCTCCACAGGTGAGCTTCAGCGGCTTGCATCTGCTCAGTCTTTTCCCAGGTGAAAGTTTCTAGGGGTTGCACCAAGCTTGTGAGGTAAGACAGTCGTGGGGTTGGAACATCTTTGTTGCATCTCAATGAGCACCTGGCATCTGACTCTGAGATCTCAATCTCTTCATCACCATCTAATGTGGTCTCCTCCTCTTTGGTTGTGCTGCTTCTTGGAATCTACTCCTTCACTTCTCTTTCCTGTTCAGCATCTGTGCTACGGGATGGGACAGTAGAAGGCCAATCTGGACTATCATTCATCAATCCAGGAAAGTTTATGAGGGCTTGTGCTTCATCCTCTGACTCGTCAGAAAAGTCTATCACAGTTCCTCTCTTGTCAGCTTTCCTGTGCTCCTCAAAATGAAGCACATGTCTCGTGCTGACTTTCCCAGTATTCAAGTCCACTTCTCTGAATTATTTGCTCCCTGGAGCACAGCCAATCATAATAGTCTATTGTGCTCTGGGATCTAACTTGTGCCTATTCTCCTTGGGTACATACGCGTAGGCAATACTGCCAAACACACGTGTGTGACATATTAGGCACTCCCTCAATGCGAGAAGTGAAGTTACAGGGAACCGGGCAGAGGGCCTTCTTGGTAGTAGCACCCACCCTGTGGAACACCCTCCCATTAGATGCCAAGGAGATAAACAATTATATTACTTTTAGAAGACACCTGAAGGCAGCCCTGTATAGGGAAGTTGTTAATGTTTGATGTTTTATTGTGTTTTTATATTTTGCTGGAAGCTGCTCAGAGTGGCTGGGCAATCCAGTCAGATGGGCAGTATATTATTATTATTATTATTATTATTATTATTATTATTATTATTCCATGCCAAAGTTCATAAGGTGTATATGTAGTTCCCTTGGTTGGCAGTCTATTTTGGAGATACACAATCCTATAGTTCCAGTTAGGGAGCAATTGATTAGAGGCAAACCACCTGAGCCATGAATGAAATGTGAATTAATTCTCTGAAACCTAAAACAAGAGTCTTGTAGTACTTTAAAGTGTGACATATTTATTATGTATAATCTTTTGTGGAGTAGCATCCACTTCATCAAATTCATGATGTTATCCTCAGTTGGCAAGTATTAATGGAGGCATAGGGCAAATGTAAAAGGCAGGATGGAAATGGAAGTGCATTTAAAGCTTAAATGTATGCAAAACAAGCATAGTGGTCATTCACATCCACAGTAATTTGATGAAACATCTCCTACTGTGTTAACAATTACTGGTACTGTGAATGGCCACTACTTATTTTGCATACAGTACATGTAAACTTCTAATTGAATTGTCAAAGTTAGAATTTTTAGGAAAGTTCATCCCACTGTAAACATCATATACACAGACGCAGACACACACACACACATACACACAGCTGCCAGTTGAAAATAATACTTCAAGCATCTGACTAGCATCCATGAAAACTTATGCCATAATACACTTTCTAGTATTTAAGGTACCACAAGATTTTTCATTGGTTTTTCTGTAAATGTAAACAGTTTACTTAAAATGCAAACATGCTTTTGTGTTGTTTATGCTGCATGTTCCTCAGATTAAGAGCAGAATGAGGCAAGGTTTGTTTTTGTAGGTTAGTGTCCGCGTGAAGCAAAGCTGACCAAAGTGGTGTAGCACAGGATGGATTTTATTCTGTTGTTCTGTTCAACTCTTTTAAAACTTATTGACTGTTACTGTGTCTGTAACAAGAAACAGTTTTGGGAATCCTGTGGCCATTCTCTTTCATTAGCCTAGTTTGCACATAATGTTGAACCATGGTTTATTAAATCATAGCTTAGTATTATGTGTGAACTCAGCTCAGCAGCTTAACTATGTGGTTAAAGGTTCCTCATTAACCAAAGTTTGTACCAGGTTTACAAACCTTAGTTAACGTTAAACGTAGTGCAGCATTATGTGCAAACCCAGACCTCCCTCAACTATGATTAAGGAGCCATCACAACCTAAAAGTATTCAGAACCAAACTCAATCCTAGACAGTATTCTGTGATGCAATAAACCAGGCACATCCAACTCCCAAGAGACTGTGATCTACCCCCAGTATAAAACAACCGGCAGTGATCTACCCATTGTCTTTGGTGGGGGGAGGTTAGAATTGTTGAGCTTTTTTTAGTGGGGGAGGTCAGAGTTGATGAGCTATTTTGGGGGGAGATGGGTCATGAAACGCTCAAAAATACACCGCCACTAACAAGCAGACGCAATGATACGGACAAGTTTAGTATCACAAACGACAACCCATTTCATGCTAAAGACGGACAGAACGAGGGCGGGGGTGGGGGTGGAGACTTTTGACACAATGCTTTTATCAGCCTGAGATTGAAAGGGAGCCCGCAATCGACCTGATCATCTGGGGATCTACATGTCGATAGCGATCGATTGGTTGGACATCACTGCTCTAGAGCTTAACTATGGTGCAAGTTAGAGGCTGCAAACATCCGTGGCTGCAAATCTACAAGCACTGCAGTTGGATTACAAGGTGCCTTAATGGCGTTAGAACAGCATTGCAAGGAAGTTCCCTAACAAAAAATTACCAAAGAAATCAAAGACAATGGCCTTTGGCATTATCTCTG